AGCCTTTAATTGCCTACATAGCCTAATAAGTGCTCAAGCGCACGCAAAAAAGGCTTGCCACAGCGCACCGGCAAATATAATTATTATGAATGTGTTAGGTTAAAACAGCAAGTACACTGCATTAACGTTTTAATAATTTTATAAACTAGTGCTTTCTGTTTTCGGTTTAAGAGATGAAGTCGGCGACACTGACTCGTCATCTCCGCAGTATGTGCCTGTAGCTATGCATGTTTCATACGGATTACATAATCTGAGAATATGACGAAGTATTTTTGACCAAAAATGATGAAGTATTTTAAGAGCAAATGATCGCACCGGCGCCTCCATCTGTCATGCAGTAGCCCAAGCGCGCTTCCACACTCCGCAAAAACACGTGAACTGCGCACTTTTTTTTTTTCTGCGACTAATACAATTTTGGTAATATATGCATATAAACAGCCTTTTAATTAGCAGAGTAGAATAATCATGGCTGATAGTAAGACATGCAAACATAAAAGAAAACCAAACTGGACGTGAGAACAGCTAATATTAAGGATATAATCAAAAATTTGTAGTTGGAATAACCTCCAAACCAAAGCCGATACCTTTTTAAAAGCTCATTATCGTCAAATGTTTCTAAAATGTTTATATTCCGAGGTAGATTGCTGGCAACAGCCTTTTTAGGATAGTTCAGATTTGGTCTTAGTGACTTAGAAGTCCTCTTCACTACTCCTAACGTTTCACAGATTTAGGAGCTAATTTTAGCGCTGAAACGCTTTGTGAAATACTCTTAGAACAGTCCTAAATTTTTGCTTCGATTTTATTCTAGATCCCTTAGTAAACATATTATTTGTCCTCGGTATTTAGGGAACAGGCAAAGTCTCTATGGAATGGACTATATATGCCACAGTATTACTGAAATGGGAAGAACATCATAACTGTAATTTACACAACTGTTCAAAAGTCTGGGGTCAGTAGGATTTTTTGCATTTTTGAAATAAGTCTCTTATACTCACCACAGCTCCATTTATTGTAAAAAAAAAAATAAAATAAAACGTAAAATTATATTACAATTCAAGAGAACTGTTTTTTTAATTTAAATATGTTAACATGTAATTGATTGCTGTGATCAAAGCTGAATTTTGTCTGTGGTCAGTAGGATTTTTTGCATTTTTTGCATTTTTGAAATAAGTCTCTTATACTCACCACAGCTCCATTTATTGTAAAAAAAAAACAAAAAAAACGTAAAATTATATTACAATTCAAGAGAACTGTTTTTTTTAATTTAAATATGTTAACATGTAATTGATTGCTGTGATCAAAGCTGAATTTTCAGCATCATTACTCCAGTCTTTAGTGTCACATGATCCTTCAGAAATCCTTCTAATAAGCTGATTTGCTGCTCAAGATACATTTATTATTATCGATATCAGATGGCGTACATTGCATCATCAGTTTATACAGCTGCAGTCTGAGGTACATCAGGAGAAGCAAGAGCAACAGTCAAGGGGAGGATTGACAATACCTGCCACCTCACCATTAGCTTCAGCCCACACCACTCCTCCAGTCCCTCATCCACATCAACAGACCTGGCAGACTGCCCAGGATAATGCATCTGCATCAGCTTCAATACAGGATGGTATAGTACAACGCCATAGGTCTTCAATGCCAACTTATGAAAGTCTAAGAATGCTGCCATGGACTGAAGATGAGGATATAGAGCATTATCTAACAACATTTGAACAAATTGTTCAGGCATGCAGGTGGCCCAGACAGGATTGGGCACTGCATCTTCTACCTCTTCTTACTGGCAAGGCGAGGGCAGCCTATGTGGCCATGGAGCCTGAGGAGTCCTTGGATTATAATTATGTCAAGCAAGCTATCCTTGACAAATTTGAAATTAATGCTGAAACATATTGTCAGAGATTCAGATCCTAGTGTCCAGGAGGACTAGACTCCAAAAGAGCTTCAGGTGAGACTGAAGGACTTGTATGAAAAATGGATGAATCCCAGGCTTCGAACCAAGGAAGAAATTGGAGACCAAATAGTTTTAGAACAGTTCCTCAAACTCCTTAATCCTGACACAAGAATGTAGGTAAAACAGAACAACCCCACTTCATCAAGACAGGCAGCAGAGTTGGCTGAAACCTTCATGGCTGCAAGACGATCAGTATACCAGCCAAGGCGTTGGAGAAACAATAACAGCAGTGCAGCGGGTAAGCCTGCGGATGGTATTAACAACTCTATCACATATACTCATGTGTCACAAACTAAACCCCTTGGCAACCCTAGTAAACAGCAGAAAATTAGACCTAGTTTGGTATGTCATGGATGTGGCCAGCAGGGTCACAAGAAGATAGATTGCCCCTTACAGAATGTCACTAACACCCGACTTTGTTATGTGCCCAGACCATCTCTTAGCTCTGATGAAGTAGAATTGAACAGGGATACGGTAGTTAAGGTAAAGATAGGGGGTAATTGGTTCAAGGCTCTGGTTGATTCCGGCTCAAGTCAAACCCTTGTCAGAAGTGAATGTTTGGGGGAGCAGAGCAGTCTAATACAGGGCAAGCTGAGGGTTCGCTGTATCCATGGCGACGTAAGAGAGTATCCTGAAACTGATCTTGTGGTTGAGATTGAAAACCAGTCATATGTCTTGTCGGTTGGTATTGTGGAACAGGCTCCCTATCCAGTTATTTTAGGCAGAGATGTACCAATATTGGTAGACCTCTTGCAGTGTGACAAGGAGTTAGCTGAGGTTAGGGTAGTCACAAGAGCCCAAGCTAAACAGGAAGAGGGTACTAAACGGTTGCTGCAGAGCTTACCTTTTGCGGGAGAGCTTAAAATTAAGAAATCGAGACGTGAGAAATGGCAAAAGAAAATGGAGGGCACAAACACTTGTAAGGAGCTAACTAAACCCTGCTTTGATGATATTGTGCAGATTCCACACAATATAGTGGAGTTACAAAGGCAAGACAAGTCATTACAATGACTATTGGAGAAAGCTATTAGTCAGAGTCCTCAGACATTGGTGTCACAAAAGGAACGGTATGTGGTAAAAAATGACAGGTTATACTGGCAGGGTGCAGAGGGGGAACGATTGGTAGTTCCGGTTTCTATGAGGGAACAAGTGTTGCAGTTAGGCCATTCGGGGCCATGGGCAGGTCATTTGGGACAGCAAAAAACACTGGCTAGAATTGCAAGCAGATTTCATTGGCCAAGACTTTATATGGATGTGGTAGACTTCTGTAGATCATGTCCAGAATGTCAGTTAACGAGTCCAATTAAAAGAGGTGACAGAGTGCCTTTAGTCAGTCTCCCTATCATTGATGTTCCTTTTACTCGGATTGCTATGGATATCGTTGGCCCTCTGCAAAAGAGTAAGGGAGGGAACCGTTATATTCTAGTTGTTGCTGACTATGCTACTAGATATCCGGAAGCATTCCCACTCAGAAACATTAAGACCAGACAAATTGTCAATGCCCTTATTCAGCTCTTTTCACGTGTAGGCATTCCCAGAGAGATAATTACAGATCAAGGAACCAATTTTACTTCCAAACACATCAAACAGGTTTACTCCATGCTAGGCATACGCCCCATACATACCACACCTTACCATCCTCAGACCGACGGTATGGTGGAAAGATTCAATCAAACGTTAAAAGCCATGCTGCGTAAGTTTGTATCAGAAACGGGGTCTGACTGGGACCATTGGCTACCTTACCTTCTCTTTGCATACCGAGAGGTCCCCCAATCATCAACAGGCTATTCACCATTTGAGCTGCTTTATGGACGCCAAGTGCGAGGACCATTAGATATCTTGAAGGAGGCCTGGGAAGGAGATAATCCGGTAGAGCAAACAAACATTTTGTCTTATGTTATCAAGATGAGAGAAAAGATGGACTTGCTGGTCGAGATGGTACAGTTTAACATGGCTGAGGCACAACAACGACAAAAAACTTGGTATGACCGGTCATCTAGAAAGAGGACATTGGTCCCAGGTCAGAAGGTCTTGCTACTTCTCCCGACATCGGACACCGGGTTGCTAGCCAAGTGGCAAGGGCCATATGAGGTACGACGGAAGGTGAGCCCTACCAACTATGAGATCTCTTTGCCTGATCGTCGTAAAAAGTCTCAAGTCTTCCACATTAACCTCTTAAGGTCTTGGCATGAAAGCAAGGGGTCTTTGTCTGATCAGCTATGGGCAAGAGCGGTGGAGGAGGAAGAGGAACTGGAGGAGCAGTATTTCCCCACTGGTCAAAAGTGTAATCCGTAAAGATGCATTTATCTCTAAAGGCACGTCAAATGAGGAGATGGCGAGTCAGGTTCCTCAAATTCATTTTTGCAACATTGACTCGGAAAACATTAGTTTATTAACAAATAATTCAAATATACCCTCACTATTTTGTTTTTTTTTTTTTTTTTTTGTTTCTGGGCCGCTGTGCCAAAATTGTGTTTGCATTCAGAAGCCTATATGGCAGCATTTTTGTGCCACGTTTAAAAAACTAAATAAATAAGATTAACGTCATAATATTTTAAGAATAAAGTCAAAATCACGATAATAAAATCATGTTACATTGCGTGAAGTTAATGTGAAAATTCCACCTATAGACTACTCCGCCAAAAAAAATAAAAAAGTCTGTGGCATCCGTCATTCTTTTGAATTTTTTAAAACTCTGATTGATCGATTCATGAGACATTCGTTTGTATTAAATTGTTCTGATTTTTTTTTCCAACATGCATTCAAATATTCATGTTTATTTTGTGCTGCAAATATTAAAGAGGAAAATATCATTGGTTCATATGCAGCTTGAACTGAGGCGAATTATCTCACTACAAATTAAAGAGCGTAAAAAGACGTTTATTGTTTGTATTTAATCATAAAATTTACAAATTGTTATTGTAGTAACAAAGCACAAAGCTGCGATTACTGGGTGGCTTGCGTGCTACAAATAATGAATGGACTTGAAAACTTTAAACATCATTTCCAAGCATTAGCCTATAGCCTACCCTAAATAAAACAGCTTGTGAATAGTCACGATTCA